CATCCCCTTAAGCGACGTTAGTGCAACCGGGCCTTATATACCTATATCAGAGATATCTCTGCTTTTTTCTATTTGGAAAAGTAACTCCTCAGTTACTTATGTTACGTTTTCTGTGTTTTTACTCTGTGATGGACAAGTGCAAGTTAAAAAAAAGTTTTCATGCTATAAAACTATTATTTAGGCACCACTTACTACGTTTACACTGCACAATACCGCATGTTTTCTTAAGGATATGTCACTATTGTCTCGCAAAAAGTTGAAACTAAAAAATCGATATTACTTCTAGCGATTCACTGCCGAATGAAATTATTTGAGTGATTGCTGGAAGCTACAAGAACTAACTGGTAAATGATTGGTGAAGTAGGATACTATACACAGTTTTTTTTAGATCTTAAACAATAGTGTAAGAAAAACTTAGTGTGATTAAATTGTAAATCAGGCACACGTATAAAATACTACGCAAAAAGGTGAAGGATGAATACAAAGTTATTTCTCGAATTATTAATACTAATTTTTTTTCGAAGATATCTTCATGAAACTATACTGTGTATCTTTATTATAACACCAATATTTTATCTTTAAATTAATAAAATTTATCTTTACAAGACTTTATGTATCTTTAATAAATATGTATACAATAAAATTGTAAAGCGCTTTAAAATTATATTTTTTAAGAAATTTGTTATTTTGGTTGGACAATAAAAAAAGAACCGTGGCAGACATTAGAAGCGTCAGGATATTTGTTAGACATCTTTACAATCCAAACCGCACGCGTGTCTACAAAACATCGTAAAAATACGTAGTTTAAGAATATATCTGGAACAATATTTTGAAAATATCTAGAACAATATTTAGTTTTCGCTCGAGTTATAGATAGAATTATTACTTGGATAAAGAGAATTTGAGTAATATACATGATCTGCAAAATAAAAGTTAAAATCGAACACATTTACATGCGTTTACTCGGTTTTTTACTACTGTCTCTGTGAAATAACTACGCATACTCTGACTCAAGATTATTC